GTCTTTGTTTACAAAGTAAATCATAAAAATTGCTTCAAAAGATTACATTACAATAAAATACAGCTATTGTTTCGTAGTGGAAGCTATTAAAGTTCCACCACTTATATGAAACCATCAGGCTGTATTAGTCTTAAAAGAAGTAAGAAATATTTTATATAAGTGCAAGGAAGTGCTAGGTAAATTATAATATTTGGACAGATGTCCAGAATTGATATCGAAACTGAACAAGACTGAGAATCAAAATATTTATGAACACACAAATTCAAACAAATAAAGACATTAAATGACACATAAAACTTTAACGTTTAGGACAGTACGAACACAAAACACAATAACTTACAGAACACTGAAACAATACTTACTTAAATCTAACATAAACAACACTCACTTAACTCAAACGTAATTACTGAATAGTACTCCTCTTTTAAACACCAACTCTCAATTCTGGATATCTGTCCAGAATTGAGTTTTGGTGTTTTTTTTGGTAAGATAAATTATAATTTTGCTAGATAAATTATAATTTATCGAGCACTTCCTTGCACTTATATAAAATATTTCTTCTCTTAAGACTATTACGGCCTGATGGTTCCATATAAGTAATGCAACTTTAATAGCTTCCACTGAGAAACAATATTGAAAAACAAAATTGACAAGTGTCTGTGTGTGCGGTGAGGCAGGTTGTTTGCTTGAATTTATGCCATTTTTCGTTTGTTGTCGATTGCTAATATCGACTTGACAAATAAATGTTAGTTCAAGCCATTAAAGACTAATTTAAGTAAATTTAAAATTAAACCTTGCAGTTTTTAAACTTAGATTTATACTTTTTTTTCAAAAAAACTCATAAATGTATTTTGTCTTGCATTGGGAATCTGAAACACAAAAAGGAGCTTCCATTGTATTGTATATCTTTGATCCCGCGATACTCTTTCCCCTGACCGATTATGTAAGTCAAAATATATTCTTTTAATAATTTAGGACACTATCGGATATTCTCTATATATTTTTTTATGCACTCCAAACACAACATTATTAACCAAACACCTTACACTTTCATCCTCTAATCAATTAACACTTTCTCTGACCAATAGCGTTATTATTTACTGAGGCTTAGCTTGAGGGATATATTTCTTTTCTTTGATTAACCGCAAAATATGTCTTACAACACCTGTTTACAATTTTACAATTTACATGTGCTCTATAAACTGCTCATTGGCATAGCGCAAAATATCCTTCAAGGCTTCTTATTCAATATCAAATTATGGTAAGACTTTTATCTTAAATGTTTTTTATTTTATTGTGTGTTTGTTTGTCTTAAATTCGTACTTTAGTACTTAGGAATAATGTAAATTATAAGTTTTTGTATTCTAATGTTACTACTTGCGCAACGTGTTTTATTAATTTTCTAAAAAGTATCAGCGTACTTTGTTTGAAATGGAACAAGTTAGGGTATTTGGCTGAGCATTAGTATGTTCTCTCAAATGTTGCAACATAAGAAGGCTTTGACGCAGAGGTAGAGGTGTATTTTACTTGCTTCTTTTCATGATGTTACCCCGACGGGAGTTTTTAGGAATGAGCATTAAAACATTTGAAATTTCAAATACCAGAGTATCGAATCTTTATAAGGGTTAATACAATGCCCACTTTCTGACGAGAATCTGGCATTATATAACACAATTTTTAATTTTATTTTAACACTGATATATTTTTATTTTCTTTCTTTATGCAATTAAGCCCGTGCTTCCCCTTTATATTAGATGTTTGTTTTTGTTGTTTGTTGTAATACTTCTGCTTTATAGACATTTTTTGTCTAAAGAATTGAGTAATTTTGTTATATTAGGTTAATTGTGTATTACATTATGCTTACCACAACGATGGCAATTGTTAATAATTGTTTGGATTTCGGTAATATGTTTTTGAATATTTATCTTATAATTTCATATAGGTTTACTTAAATGTTTTTGATTTTTATCGGAGGCTGAAGGTATTCGGGTGGTATGAAAATAAACAGACTTATTGTGTTGGTTGATCTTTGAGTATATATTTACTTTGAGTAAACTAAATTTAAAACTAATATTTCTATTATAAAGGTGCATGTTTTTATAAAACAAATTCACTAAAACGATCAACTAAGTGGTAACTCCACTAAGTGGTATGAATTATAGTTGAACCTGTATTAAGTTAAATAAAACTGGAATTAAGTAAAAACAATAGTTATTTCTAATATAATCAATCACTTCTTTTATCTAAGGCATTCACAGCTAAATATGTTCCACTAGTGACTATACTCGCTTGTTCTAGTTGCAAACCTGATATATAAAGAGAACATAATGAGATCGGTACTGAACAAGACTGAGAATCAAAGTATTTATGAACACATAAATTCAAACAAATAAAGACATTAAATGACACATTAAACTTTAAGGTTTAGAACAGTACAGAACACTGAAACAACACTTACTTAAATCTAACATAATATAATATAATATATATAATAAGGTATAACTGTAACAACTGTTTTAAACAGTTGCGAAGTGCAATAACATAAGATATTGCACTGTAACAGCTCATTTTGTCTTTTGTTTGTGTTTTAACAAATAGTTTCTGCAAAATCCAGCTCTGTCTAGTTTGTTTTTGAGTTATTTATTGAAGTAGCTTCTATTATTTCAGATGGTAAGCTGTTCCACGCATTTACAACTCGATTTTGGAAAAAATGATACCTGAAGGTATTTCTGCTAAAAGGCTTCCTCATTTTGAATTTGTGTTGTCGCAGACATGGACCCTCCTCCAATATACACATAAACAACACTCACTTAACTCAAACGTAATTACTGAATAGTACTCCTTTTTTAAACACCAACTCTCAATTCTGGACATCTGTCCAAATATTATAATTTATCTTGCACTTCCTTGCACTTATATAAAATATTTCTTCCTTCTCTTAAGACTATTACGGCCAGATGGTTCCATATAAGTGGTGCAACTTGAATAGCTTCCACTGCGATACAATAGCAGATACACAAAATTACATTTACATAAAAAAAAAATACATACTTTATAAACAAAAAATAAGAATATACTAATAAAATCTTATAATAAACTTTCAAAAATTTATAATAAACTTTCAAAATTTTGACAATTTAAAAAATATATACTATAAATCATGTATATTTTTGAAAATAAATAAAGTGTATACACGAAATAAATGTGAAAGAATTAGTACGTCATTTTTTTTCAGCGGTTATATTAAAATCTTTTTAATTGTTTTATATTTTGCTTACAACGTTGTGCTCACAAATGAATCCACATGTTTTAAATTTGACACACACACATTGTGTTGTGGTTTCAAAAAAGTGTATTAGTTTTTTGATTTAACTTAAAATTAGTTTTAAAAATGGCAAAAGAAGAAGACATAAGAGAAAAAATTATGCAAAAATATTCAGAAAATCCCAATAGTAACTACAATTCTATAGCAAAAGCATTGCAAATACATCCATACACTGTTAGTCATGTAATCCAACGTTTTTCTCAAACAAAATTGATTAAATGTAAATCTGCTATTGGAAGAAAGAAGAGTTTTTAAGATAAAAAAATTAGTTAGAAAACTGGTTAACAGTTTTAAAACTAACCCAAGTCTTTTACTAACGGAGCGCGCAAACATTTATGGACTTTCTCATAGTTTTATTGGAAAAGTTCGAAATAAATAAGATTTTTATTCTTTGAAACCACAAAAAGACCCAATTGATCTGAAACTCAACAAAAAAGTGCAAAAACCCGCTGCAGAAAGTTGTATGACAATTTTATTTCTAAAAATTTCTGCATTATTTAAGACGATGAAACTTATATCAAGTTTGATCATCAGCAAATTCTTGGTGCCGTCTATTATATTGCTAAATGCAAAAGTTCGAAATTTTAATAGATAACCACAGGAATAATTTGATTTTTTTTTATATTTGATCTTCTTATATTATTGTATTAAAGTTATTACTTGGTTGGAAATAAAAATTGAAGAGTACTTTTTTAGTTGTTTTTCTTCTTTCACATTTATTTCGCGTACACGCTTAAGTACAATTTCTAAAACATTTCAACAGAATACTCTAGAACTTTATTTCGAAACAATTTATAACCATTACTTTATTTGTAGATTTGGCGGGTTTTTAGTGTTCGCAAATATTCTTTTTATTCTTCCGCACCAAGAACATTTAAGTGTATGTATGTTTCTATGTATGTCCGTAAAACAAAAATATTTTTTTACATACATAAACTTAAATGTTCTCAAAACAACTAAAAAACCTAGCCAGTTTTTCGCAACTAAATATTATTTTAGTGGTCAGTATTTGAGAGCGATTGCTCTTGCTTCCTGACCAAGCCTGATGTCAATAACAAACAAAAAATAATGCTTTCCTGAATTTAAATTAATTATTTAAACATTTCAAATATCAATACAATGCTTTCTTATTTCAAATATTAATACAAAACTTTTGCATTTCCATTACACATATTGATAAATATCATTTTTTATTTAAATGACATTAAAATTATTATTAGTTTCGACAAACAAAATTCTATAAAAAATATTTTGTTTAAAAGTAACTATTTGAATTCAAATCAAATTTAAATTTATATCTTAGTTTTAACTACTTATTTACATATTAAACTTAAAAACAATTTTTAAGTTTAACAATAAAAAAATTCATGTTAACCAATTGGAGACAATACCAACGATATACCATAAATTCATACTCATGGTAAAAATTTTTAATTTTAAACCAAACTAATCAAGACTCTGAGTTTTCTGAAAAACATTTTAACTTTAAACTTTATAAATATAGATATAGACATTTGATAAAGTTTAAGGTTCACTTAATTCATTTTTTAACCTTACATTATTTTTCTTATAAATAATAAACTTTTAAAATAAGTTTTTTTTTTTCGGATGGTGATATTATATATAAAATATTAGTGATAATTTACATAAAATACAAATATAAAAAAAAATTTACTTGATGAGATTTAAAGCATTTCCATTCAAAATATAATTCATTTTCTGCACAATCCAAATCAAATTTTGCTTGTCGAAGCCATCTTTTTGCCTCACCAGGTTGCGGATTTTTCTTTTGAAACGAAGGAGGAACCCAGCTGCGAGAACTTTGGTGATTATAGTAAAAATCACTTTTAAAAAATGTCTTAAAATAATCCCTAAAGTTGTTTCCATCACTTGAGGCTTGTGAGGACCACCTGCTAAAGTTATTGGACATTCCTTCTTCTGACTTGTTGATACACTTCTGTAAAAATTGAAATATTTTAGTGGCCTTATCTTTGTTTTTCAAAACATGTTTATCTGGATGCCATCTTAAAAAGAGTCTCCGAATGACTTTCTTTTTATCCTCTGGAGATAAACGGGCAAGATTTTTCAGCTCTTCTTTTATTAATTGACATATTTCTTCAACATCTCCTAAATCTTCCTCCAAGTTATTCAAGTCTTCATCTATATTTTCTGTTCCAGAGACTAATGCCACATCTAATGAACCAATTCTTTTCTTCAAACCAGGATTTGCATTTCTATTAAACCCATATAATAGAAAAGATCTCCTTTTAACCAGCATTCCATCAGGACTCATTTGTACTTCATACTCGCTATTCATATCGCTAAAACATCCTGAAGGTTTATTTTTTATAAGCACATAAATAAATTCTCTCTCGTCTTCACTACCAACATCTAAAGCTGCATAATCATCAATCTCAAATTCAAAAAATTCATTACTTAGTAATGGGTGGAGTTCTAAAGGTACCTTGTCACCAGGCGATGGAAGCTGACCATGATCTAAGAAAGATATGTTTGAAGAATCATGATAAATTTTATATTCATTTAAAATTGGTGACAAACGCTGCAGTGGGTTATGAAACATCTGATAAAGTAACAATGTTAGAGTTGGTTCATTAAACGACAATCCCAAATACTCCATTAAATGAGTAGTTAGATATATATAAATTTTGTCTGAATCATTTTTTTCTAAAATTGAAGCTAAATACAATGTAACTCCACCTTTTAATTTCCATAAAAAAACATTCCAATCAGAATTACTTCCATCAATCAAAAAATCTTTGGGAAGAAACTTGAGCTTTGTTTCAATTTTTGGCACAACAACAACATTAAAGTGCTGCAAAATATTTGTAACCATTTCAATAGTGTTGTTCAAATCAATATTAATTGATCTTGATATAGAGTCATGCTTAATTAAGCGCTGCAATGCTATTAAAAATTCTGGAGCTTTCAAACGTTTTTTAATATCTTCACTGATATGTCCTGATGGAATAGTTATAGGATTTATTTCTGAAATTATTTCTTAACTTAACACATCTCCTATATTTTTAGGTCGAATGTCTAATGGTAAATGCTTCATCAAAATCTCACTTGTCCCAGGTTGAATTTTATCATTTTTGTCACTAAAGAGAATAGGTTCTTGAAAGTTTTTTAATCTTTCTGCATAGCAGAAATCTGACATTGCTATGATGTTTGAAGAAAGAGTTAGATAAATACTACTTTTTTCTTTGTTATCAAATATATATGTTGGTAAATAAAGTTTTGAATCAGCTGGCAAAAGTGAATCTCTTTGAAGCATGTCAGATAAATAGCGCATTGCACTTGAAGCAATCTTTAAGTCATTAGGATGCAAAATGTTTTCATTTTTTTCTTCTTTTAAGTTTTTTAAAGCTTGCATATACATTGATGAAGAAGGTTTAGAGTGAGATCCTATTTCCTCAAAAAACTTAAAATATTGACCTAAAGAAACATCAACTGGACATAAATAGGGTGGAATACTTCCTTCTTCAAACAGTAAAGTTTTATGGGGAACATCTAAACATGTATTTTTTGAAACAAGAACAATGCTCATAGCTTTTAATTTTGAAATAATATAAGAGTTTTTTAAAGATATAAAGTATGAATAAATCTGTTTAAAAATTGTGAAAAATAGATCAACAATATCAGAAGATATTAACTTTTGCGTCTCATTTTTTTGAGATAATTGGTTGGAGTTTAAAATATTTTGAACATGATCTACAACTAAATCAGGGTCATATTGGCTTACTTTGTATTTTTTTAAATTCAAAGATAAATTTTGATCTAAGTAACTTGGTAAAACTGACTTTTTTGTCCAAACCAAATGTCGAGATTCATACAAAGCTGATTCTTCCATGCATATTTTTTCATAAGTAGAATTAACACTAGGACAAATACTTTCTATAAAGTTGTTCATTTTTAAAGATGAAATAAATCTTATGTTTTTTATTTTTTCATAAAAATTTTGAGAAAATTTATTATTTTCATGTGTTGATATGTTATTAAGATGAAAAATCAAATCTTTTGATATGTCGTTAAATGATTCTAAATCTTTGCGCTTTTCATTTTCTGTAGCAAGAAAAACGAAAATATCTTCAGTTATTACATTTATCAAACCATTCTCTTTCAAAAAACTAAGCCATTTATTATTTTCATAGTTTGTCCATTTACCACAAGTTTTAGGTTGTGGAAAATTAACATTTGGCAATACTTTAATAAACAAAAAATTTGTTGGATCATAAAGCTCTGAACAGAAATGTCTTTCTCCATTAGAATTTTTTACAAATTTAGCTGATTTTAATAATTCAATCCACTGAAATTTAAGAGCATCATTTATAATTATACTGTAAAAAGTGCTTAATATAAAATCTAAATGTTTGTCTTTTGAACATTCATCAATTCTATCAAAATTAGGAATTACATACATTTTGTAAAATTCAATACTGTTGATGCAAACAGAACCAAGTGATATATATAAACTTTTAATATCTTCATCATTGCCATATTGAAGAAAGGTGATACCATTCAGAAATTCTTCTAAACCATCAAAAAGAACATACTCAGTAACAAGGACAAATACATCTGTTTTAAGTGGCAGAAAGCAATTCTTATTAGATAAAAAAAGAGGCAAACTTTTCAAACTATTTTTAATGGATGGGTCCAGAGTTTTATTTGGATAGGAAAACTGTTTTAAAATTGCATAAGCTTCTTTTTCACTGTAATTGTTCCATTTTCCATTGTTGAATGAAAGAATCAATGCATTAATCAAGTCTGATGGTTCTTCAATGTTACCAAAAATATTTTCAGCCAAATCCATAGAATATAGATACTCCTTAATTTTTTCACTTGATGCTGAATAAATATTTGTTTTACTAGTAGAGTTCTTATCTTCAATAAAATCGCTTTCAAAAACTCCAAAACATTTTTTCAGTATTTGGGAAAGCTCTTCAAAACTTCTATGAACATTTTGCAACTGTAAAACGCTTTTACTTTTTTCAAGAGGAAAAACAAATGACTTATCGCCAGACTTTACAATTAACAAGGACCAGTGCTGTATATCGCTATGTAACCACTTGGGAGTTTTTTCATTTTCAACTTCAGCAAGAAAACGCCATACGTTTTTAAACCAATAAAAGTCTTTCCCCAAAATGTTTTTATCTTTTTCTAAATTAACTTCAATAATGATATCAAAAAACTTCTCACTGGGTAAAACTTCAGGTAAAAACCTTACAAAGTCTGCAATTGTAAATTCTTTGAAGCAATTACAACTTTTGTAATCATTTAGATGAAAAAGTAAATTTTTATCTACAAATTTAATGGCAAACTCTTCAAATAAAGAACTGTGTTTAGATAAAAACTTTGGATTTTGTTCAGAAAAACAAGTAACACTGCCATCTGCACATAAACACAGAGGTAACCCATTTAATTCTATTGCTGGAGCATTATTTTCTTCATCAGTACCAGACTTTTTTTTATATTCATTAATGGTACTTTTTTTTTGATTTTTAGACAAACAATACTTTAAAACCATTTTTACATTTTTTTTATCTCTAAATCTTGTTTTTGTCACATCCCAGTGATTAGAACTTTTAGGCAGAATTTTAAATGCTAGTTCGCACAATAATTTGCAAATGACATTTGGGGTGCACACTTTAAGTGGGGATTCAATCTGAATAAAACCCTGTTTAATATGTTTTGGTAATAGATCACATGGAATAAATAGTTGTTGCAACATCAATAGTAATGGAGACCTTTTTGTTGAAGAGTGAACATCTTCTTTAGTTTCATATATCAAAAAATCTTCAAAAGAAACACAATCAACTTTAGGTTCACCATTATTTTCATTTAACACTAATAATACTGAAAGATTATGGTCTGATATTGTTTTAAAAAAAGAATTCATTAATAAATTGTTATGTATATAGTCAGATTTAGGAAACATGTTGTAAAATTGTCTTATTTTAAAATTTTGTTTTTCCAAATCATTAAAATATTTTGAAAGTTTAGATGCCTGTTGTGTTATGTAATCTAAGTAACATGGAATAATGCAATGCTGAATTATTGTTTTGTTCCATATAAAATCAACTGAATCTGGAAAACTTAGGCTAAGACATCGCCGTGTTTCATATTCTAAAACAAAATTACCATTAATAAAAACTGGTAAGCCTGTAATCATGGGCAATGGCAAAGAACAAAACAATAATCCATGGTCTAATATAAAGTTAGTTTTATTAATAACCTCATTGATATTTTCACATGTTTCACAGTTTTTATAAATAGGAATTGCAATACCTCCTTTTGGTATTAAATATAGTTCATTATTTTCAATCAACTCCATTATTTGAGGAGAAACGCTATCTATGGAAGAAAATCCAACTTGCTCAATAATGTTCCAGTGATATGATTCATAAAACTCATTGTCTATCAAATGTGTGACACACACAAACTTGTTGAGTCGTTCTACTAAATTCATTATTGCTGTAACATTTCCCAACTTATTAGCAAAATCTTTTTCAGTTTTTTGAAACTTTCTAATCTTTTTTAAATTAGTATCATAATGTTGAGCAACAAATGTTGTAGATTTTTCAGCATTAACTTCTATGGTTTTAAATGTCAACTTAAGCACACTTTTAAGAAAAAGCAGAACCGAGGAAGAATGTTTTTCAAATTTACTAAATAAACTACTAATATAATCATTATTTATCACTGCATTTGATATTCCAGAAACTTTAGCCATCTTTTCATTTCTTAGCGGAAGTCTGAACAAAGTTTTACCTTCAGAATTAAATTCATCAATTAACAATGCTTTTTTAACATCACTATAAGTTTCAATGACCTGTCTTGCATTTTCAATCATAGTTCCTGGATACTGTTCGGTTGCATCAACAACATACTTCAGATTTGGATCAAATACACACAAAACATCTCCACCCTCCAAAATAGGTGTAAGCAACATTGGACAATCTGTGATTTGGTACACTGCATTAAATCCCACTCCATATTTTCCAGTTTGCAAAGCATTTTTACTTTTTGTTCCTTCTCCTAAATTCTGAATACCCTTTAAATCGCTTTGTTTAAATTTTGCATTGTTGCATATTAACAGTGCAGGTCCTTGAAGATCCCTCCATTCATCAGAAAAAACCATTTCTTTACCATGAGTTCTTGTGTCTAATAAAAATGTAACTTCTGTTGCTCCTGCATCATCAGCATTTTGTAATAATTCGTTTAAAATGTCTTCACTATTTCGATATCCTTTTATAAGTTTTGCTAATCTGACAGACAATTTTTCATGCTGACCAAACTGCTTATAGCATATTCCTTTTGACATCATATTAAAATGTTTGTGTCTTGCTGGTTTGACACCAAGAGCAATACAATGATAAATTGGAATATCACCATGACAGTAGTTTATTCCTGGCTGATCTGGAGTCCAAAAAACATCTTTAAAATATAACTCTGTAGATATTCTCAGTTTACCATTAGTATCTGGAAGGTACAGCTTCTCACTAATAATTGAATCTTTGTAAGGTAATAACTCAGGAATAATAAATTTAATTATTGTTTTAAGTAGCTGATCAGCAAGCGAATCAGATTTGTAATCTTCATTGATTTTTGATAGAATATTCAAATAATCTTCAAGTTCCGGTTTATGCTTAACTCCTAATTTCATCATTAAATGTTTTTGAACATCATTACCTGCAATACTTTTTGATAATTTAAATATATATGGAGACATGTCAAGTGGAAAATAAATGAATGTTAAACAAGGAAGCACTAGATTAAAGTTTTCAGAATATACTATGCGCAACCCACTTAGTTCCTTTAGTTGACTGATACTAGCATGACTATTTAAGTAGTCATATATGTCATTTAGTATTGTTTGAAGATGCTCGCATACGATACTAGATTTTGAATTTAAATCAATCAACTGTTGCTTCACAGTTTCAAAAGAAGGGATCTTGTTTAAGCCCAAGAAATTAAACAAAGATTTTTTTATGCAAAATTTACTAATTGGTTTTGTCACACTAACCAAATAAAGACAATTCTTTCCAAAACTATTGCAAGGAGCATCAACTTTTTCAAATTCTCCATAATGAGTATTAAAAGGCCACCAATCAGGTTTTTTATAAGATGGTAAAAACTTTGTTTTTAAAAGGTCATTTTTTATATAACTTGGACACTCATCAGTCTCTGTAGATTCCATTAACTTTATTAACATCTTGCTGCGTTTGACAAGTCCTTCAAAATTAGACATACTAGATATAGACCTCGCGCATAATAAAATCATGGGCCATGACAAATTATAAGAATTAATATCCTTAAACTTAGATAGAAAAGGTGTAAACTGATCAAACACAAATACTTCATCATTTAATAAAAACAAAGAAGCAACTTTGCTATCTACTTCAACACATTCAGATGACATCTTCAACTTTCCATTAGGTTTTGTAGGCAGGCATCTGCAATCATAAAGACAACCAATATTGTTATTAATAAAATAAATTGTAATTTTATTTCTTAAATCGACATCAAGCAGAGGAGAACCAAGATTATCTAAGAATAACCTAATAAATGCTTCTACTGTTATCTTGTTAGATTTTACATTATTGCCACATTCTAAAAGCATGTTGATAACATGCTCTGGTGTATCAACAGCATAAAGTCTAGGTTGCATCATCAAATAATACCAATTCATAAAAGTTAACATGTCTTGTTTTATACTAGAATGAATTTCATTTGACAAGAATCTTAAATATTTCCATGAAACCCATTGATTGTTAATACCAGAAGGGAAAAGTTCTAATTCATCTTCAATCAATTTTTTACCAAATGACCTAACTAAACATTGCATAGAGCTGTTTCTTGCACCATTTGTTACACTTAATGGGATAATTTTTGCCCATTTAGTTAAAGTGTAATTTGAGTTCAATCTTTTTAATTGAAGCAGAAGATTTATATAAGCTGTAGACAAATCTTCAGCTAAAATATCATTCCAGTCTTTTGTCCCGTAAGACTTATCATCACGTGTTGTTTTTAGAAGATGTTTTCTATCACTAGAAAGAGTGAAAAAACCATTAACATGAATAGGCAATCCACTTTTAATTGGTAATGGAAGGAAACAAAATAAATCTCCATCAGCATTCTCAACAAATTTATTTCCTTGCTGATCACTAATTTCAACAGCTATAGATCCACAAGAATTGTGTCCTTTGTTTTTTTTGGCATACGTATAAGAATTCTCTCCACCAACACAAGAACTCACAAGATAAACATTTCTTTCTGTCTTATTTTTAACAACAGAATCAATCGAAACTTTTAATTGAATATCTACATTTTTAAAGTTGAGATTGTTTTGAAGCATTTGTGTACAAACTTTCATTACTGAAATTTCATTTTTTACACCATATCTATGAATTACTTCAATGTTTTTCTTAACAGTTGATATAGTTAATACTTTGTTTACATTATCAGATATTTCAAACAAACCAAATTCAGAAACATTTTCAGTAAACAATAACAAATGCTTAATGCGTTCTTCAATTTTTTGGTACAACAACTTCATTTCATTTTCAGAATAAACTAACTGGCTTATTTTACTCAGTGGAGCAGTTTCACTGCTACGCAAAGGTATTCTAAAAAGAGTTCCTTTAAATGTTTGAACATCTCCACTATCAAAGTCGAGATGACAGTCAAATATTTTATGAAAAACTTTAAATTGATTACTAAACTGAAGGCAGTTGGAATTCCCAACCAGTGTCATTTTTATACCAGGTTCTCTTTTATCTTGTATTGCTTTTCCAAGGTATTCTGTATGAGGATCAAAAACAACAAGAGTATTTCCACTTAGTATACTTGGTACATCAGTAAGATGGTAGACTGAATTAAAACCAAGTCCAAAAGTACCAATCTTTGAAGTATCAAATTCTTTGGTCCCTGCATTTAATTTTGTAATATTAACAAAATCTTGCTCTGTAAATTCTGCACTATTATAAATCCAGAGTGCTGGGCCATGCCAATGCTTCATGCCAGAATCAAATAAATTGTTTTTAAACTCTTTGTTTTGCCGTTTATCATAAAGAAATTTGACTACTTTTGCTCCAGCATCGTCTGCATTTTGAACGAATTCTTTTGCTATAGCAAACCCATCATTGTACTGCTTTAAAATTCGATTAAGCTTAGTTGTCAAAGGTTCCTGTTGTCCCCATGACTGAAAGCAAGAAAATGAATTTGGGGAGATAATAACACTAACTAAATTAGGAACATTCAACATATTGGCATCATCTTCATTTAGCATTTCATGAAGTAAATTGAAAGTTGTGTTTGAATACCCTGTATCACTACTTTTATAATAGCATTCTGACAATAAATTTAGACACAGTCTTCTACTCTGTATAGGTACAAACACTTGACTATTATTCGGTAATGAAGAATAGTTTAATGCAATATATTTTACAAGATTTATAGACAGATTGAGATCAAAGGATGTATCTTTATCTGTTGTGTCATGTTTTTCTTTGATTTGCTTGAGAACATTCAAATATAAATCAATCTCATTTTTAGGAAAAAAGTCTAAAGATTGTACATACTTTTCAACAACATCAGAAATCACAGTTTTAACTTGATTATAATAGGGAGATACATCGTACTTAAGATACATGTCTTTAAAAAGCACTTTATCAATATCTAAAAAACAAGACCCATTCCAGATTTTCATCTGGTGTTTCTTAAACGAATCAACAACATCAGTAACATTAAACCTGTTCAATTCATTGTAAATATTTTGTATATTTTGCTTATAAAGACCTTTTTCTTCATCACTGTAACTTACTTCAATGTTTTTTAGATGTTGCATTATCAAATTTAAAGATGGATTTATGTCAGAAATGAATTTAGCATATGTTTCTGATAAGCTTGGGTGTATGATATAAGCAACACTTCCTATTAAACACTCATGTGAATCCAAATAGACATTACTAGGTTCTACAAAACATTTTCCAGTTCCAAACCATTTCAGAGATAAAGGGTATGATCCTAAACACTTTTGCTTTATTGGTATCCACTTTAAATGTAAATAATTTGACATTTTAAAGTTTTTTGTAAGTAGAATAATTTTTATTTTGTTGATGAGTTTTGAAAAATCCTTTTGTTTGAAATTTGCTTTTTCAATAAAACTTAAGCTCTGAGCTATATCATTAGTACTTAAATCTGACTTCAACTTTAAACCTAGTTTTTTCAGTACTGAGATATTGTACCTGTCATTAGGAAACCGGTTAACTTCTCCAAAAAACATCTTTTCCAAATCACTTGTTTTCTCAAATAAAGAAGAAGGTTTCAAAAGCTTTCCATTACTTTCAACAAAAATTTGATTTTTTAATAAATTTAAAGCATCTATACTCAGTTCAAAATTTTCTAGGCAAATTAATAGAAACTCATTAAGTTGATGTTGCTGTTCTGAAGAAAACCTGTGGAAATTGTTTGCTAAGAAAAAAACAACATCATTAAATGATAGCTGTTTAATATTTAATGCACTGATTATTGAGCAAGAGACTGATGCTGAATCAATAAATATTCCAAGACATGACATTAAAGGTAAAAAATGCCTTTTATCAACAAAATAAGAACTTTGATCCAAACATACAAATGTACCCGAAGGGTACAAAACCTCAAAGACTTTCAATTTTTTAACAAATGATTTTGTACTTTCACTAAGTAAGGAGGGATTTTCTAAATGTTTTTCCATACCAGCTTTAATTATCTTTCGTATCTCTATCGGTGCACCTGAAATGCAATTCAACACATCAATCTTTAATTGCAAATGGTGATTTATCAGGGCTATTAAAAATCCTTCATTTGTAGGCTTCATTATGAAACTATTTGAGCATAGTTCAAAAATGTCAATTTGATCTAAGTCGTCTGCATACAATAATGGAACAAGACATTTATCCAAAAATAACTTCATTACTGGTGTTAGTAAGTTCTTTTCAAAAGACTCCACTATAACATTTGTGTCTTTTTGAGTCAGTATACTTAACGAGATTTCCATTTGTTGTTTAATTAAAACCATTGGTATTCCTTCAAGTTGTTTTAAAGATAATCTATTTTTTTTTTTTGTAGGACCACATAGATTTGTACCAGTTGTGATAAAAATCATTCATTACAATCTTTTTAAAACTAGATTTATTTTGTTCACATAATGCTTTTATAACATCCAAAGCTTGCTGCCAACTGTCAACTACTGTAATGTTAAAGTTTCCTAAACAAATTTAAAAATTGCTCAATATAAAAAAATGCAAGTAATATATTGTGAATTATCAAATAAGCCACTGTTGGAAATAGGCATAAGTGCCACGCCTATTTCAGATATTCTAATAAAGCTTTTAAAAGTTAAAAGTTTTAAAAATGGAACTAAATATGGTTTTTTTTTGTTAAAAGTTTCATTAGTAATAATGTAACCAAAGCAATGTATCAATGTAACTATGACAAAAGGCTGTTTTATTTAAAACTTAACATTTGCTTTTAATTTTAACTTATCTAAAAACTTTACTGAGACTATTCAATGATTTACTCAATTCAAAACTTTATTCAATGATTTTCATAAACTTTATTCAATGATTTTTGAATAAGCAAAGGTAGAGTATTAAGTCTAGAAGTTTTAAGAAAGATTGAGTAGACTTAGCAAAATTTTCATTATAATTGGATTAATTGAATTACAATAAAGTGTTATAATACACACCTTGTCTTTCATCAATATTTAAGCTTTCTTTTTTACTTCTTGATTTTTAATATTTAAAAATTAATCATAAAACTCATGTCAATTCAATGTCAACAGGTAACTCATTATTTTAATGAAATCAAAACAAAGATCAAAACTAAGATTTAATTAACTTGCAATTGAAAATTTTAAATTAATTCACCAAAAAAATGTTCTTTTACTCTATAATCTATTTTTTGTGGACAATAAAAGTATAGAAAGAAATATAGAAATTATTATTAACAAGCTGTTTCAAAACTAGCAAACATATTGACCATTTATAACTTTTTTCTAATGTCAACAGGTTGGAAGATTTTCAATTATCCATTCTTTTCCCATGTCTAAAGAACATGCGGTCTCCCCTGAAGAAGGAAAAAATTTAATTAGCAATAAAAGTATAGAAAGAAATTTAGAAATAAATAAGTAGAAAAAATTTTAAGTGAAAAGAATTTGAAAACATTTGAAAAGAATCCGAATAATATTTTCAGTTTTTCTTCAAATTTCTAAACAAAATTTTCTTCAATACAACAAATTTTCATTGAGGCAATACTTCAATAAAATTTTATATATTAAATACTCCACTCTCATAATAGGTTTAGTAAATTTGACTTGTCAGAGCCAAGGGCCTAGGTCCGACTATCAATTGCTATCTTAAATGATTAAAGAGTAGAGAAGGGTGAAACAATATAGGTCTATTGGCAGAGGCGTAACCTCATAGTTGTGCAGCTGCACAGAACTACTCATTTTCTTGAAGGGAGACTTAAATTTTCAAAATAACAACTGTCGGTAGTCTGGCAGGACAACCAGACAGTTTCTTACTTACTAAATAGTGTTTATTAACAAAATCATATTTTAAACTATGAATATTTTATTCCTTTTGATTATTTTGAATAAAGCTTTAGAAAAGTATGTAAATTATACAAAATAGTAATAAAAAATAGTTAATTTGAATCAAATTAGACATGCATGTTTAAAATATTTCATTGTGCAACCATTTTTTAAATTATTGCAGTAGCATTTTGAAGCGTGTTTCTTTTTTAATTTAAAATGTGTATTGCAAGAATAAAAAAACTAAATTTTACTGTCGCGTTTTGAAACACATTTTTTCTCAATTCAAAATAAGTTTCAAAATTATTTTCGTTAAATTCAAAATGGTAATGTATCATTTTAAAGCATTTTAGTCGCATTTTGAATCAAGTGAACATTTTGGATCAAGTTTTGAAACTATGTTGAACCTTTTATTTTACATAAATTTTTTTTTAACTAACAAAATTATTGATGAAGTCTCAGTAAATTAACCCTTACAAACCTGCATTTTTATTTTTAAATACAAAATTTTATAATGAATTTGAATTAAGAATTAAGTTTAAATATGAATAAAAAAAACAAATTTGGAAAAATTTCATGTTTTAGGGTAAATCTAGAGTGTTCTGTATACAGAACATCTGGTTGTTCCAGTTGCAGTAGGCGTATTTTAATTTGTTTTGTATAGGGAATTTCTGGTGTTTTTTTATTTTTTACATTTTATTTAATGTACATAACATTTTTTTTTTAATTAATTAGCAATATTTTTGAAATAAATAAGCATCATTATTGTAAAACAAAGTAAATTTAATGTTAAAAAACGTTTTTAATCAAAATACTTTGAAATTTTTAAACTTTAATCATCATGATTGTATTCTTGAAATTAATTGAGTTAATTAAGATGATGATGAGTTAGTCAAGATTATAAACACAATTAAAAGTGAAAAAATAGAATAAATTTGCATTTTGATTGAATATTTCTATAAATTTAGACAATGATTTATTTATTAAATAATTTAAATGCAATTTAAATGTAAGTGAAGGTCGTTCATGAGTGTCAACAATAGGAGTTCTTCTCTGGAGCCTGTAAAAATGAAAAAATTGTCATCAATAAAGCATTTGTAAAATGTAATGGTAGTTAAGAAGTGTTCAGTAATAATAGTATCAAGGCGACTCAAAAAAGAATCAGCATAAGGTGGGTCCATATGTGCTCCTATGTGAGTACCATGGATTTGCTGATATTGTTGATCATTGAAGTTCACCTAAGTTCAGTGATAAAATGTTTTATTTTGCAAAATGTCAATAAGTGATTGATGTTGTTCGTTACATACAAAATTGTTGAGTTGCATGGTAGTGGGTGGTAGGTTTTGTCATCCAATAGCAAACCTTTAATTTTGTTTTCATAATCATTTGTGTTAAGAATAAAAATACTGTGTCCTTTATCAGCTTTTTTAATGGTGATAATACTTTTTTAATGGTGATAATACTACTTTGGTACATACTGTCAAGCAAGAATGTAACTAAGCCCCATGACGTGTAACTAAGTCCAATAGCATGTAACTAAGTCCTATGGCCAGAAGTTGTGTTTCAGGTTTGCTGAGTAAATGGTTAAAAAGGTTTGTGACAATTTTATGGTTAAGAGCTGAAGCTGCTAAAAACAGCTCCTCTTTGATATGCCTAATATACTTACTCTTTGTAAGATGCTCATGTTCATTAACTAAGAATGTTAATGAACACGAGGATCTCACAGAGAGTGAGAAGGGGAATATATGTTTGTTGCTTGATGTAGTAAACCAATATTCATATTAGTCATCCTTCCAAGAATCCCTGATGGATAAAATATCTGTACATAGAAAAATCTCTGATCTATGACTCAAAAGGAAACCTCTTTAATACACAATCAGAACCACTGTTCCAGCCCGTGGTGACACAGATTTGTGTTTAAAGCTATGCTTAAGAAAGTTACTGATGTTTAAAATGGAGTTAAAAAATTTAGGAAAATGAGAATGTCATGCAGTTTGGAGGGAGGAAAAAATTAAAAGCCTCTGAGACATGTAGGTGTATATGGGCAAAGATATAAAAGTCAAAGTAACTTGTGGTATTGTTAAGTTGGAAGAAGTCTCTCTCCAATGATTCGTATAAATATTTGTTTGAAGGTAATTACTTACATAATGGGCTGTGTATGCTTAGAGATGCAAAGGAAAATTAATGATCTGGATAGTAAAAAAAGAATCTACTCTAAACATGAAAAATTAGATATAGAATGTTGCATGCATATAAATCATAAAATATAACAAGGAGCTTTGATAAAATAATTTACTTTTAATAACGACTGCAACAACCAAATGTTCCATAAGTGAAACACTAATAATATGTTTTAAAAATATTAAGAAAAAAAAACTAATATATATTTTTAATAGTTAGAATTAATACACCCAGGGCTAACTTATTTTTGTATAAGGTCCTGGACAAAATGTCTCACCAAAAGTTATTTTGGTCAGACATTGTCCAATCAAATTTTTGAAATAAAGTTTGAACAAATAGTTTTCACAAATATTTACATAAATTCATATTTGTTTAGTTAAAAGGAACACAGGAAGAAGGAAATGCAGAGAGTAAAAAAGTACTACAGATAAGTTTTCTTAGACTAGCCACTGGCGTATCTGAGTTTTACAAAACCCAATTATCCAATCAGAAGTTTTCCCAGTTTATTTTATTTTAGGCTAGTGAAGTTGTAGTTTTTTTCTTAATATTCAGAATTTTTATCATCATAGATATTTGTAATTTAATTGAAATAGTTTAAATTCAATACTGCACATTTTTTTAGATAGACTTGAAGTTTTGTCGAGTTTTTTTCTCTCAAAAACCTTGTTAGTTTACATTGAATTGCATTACCTGTTTATAAAAGTTATGTAAATTTTTTTACTTAACAAAACATAATATGCTAAGTGTCAATTTTGCACATAAGCTCGTTTTTTAGCGCCAAAAAGGTATTTATATGGCATTCATGTAACTATTTTTATCAATAATAAAAATGGCAAGAAAACAAGTTTATTATCGTAATATAGTAAAATAATGTCTTAAATATATTAAATATTAAGATGAACATATTATTTTTAAACTTTATATAAAAAAATAAATCAGATTTCATTATCTGAAAATAAACTTTCTTGCTCAGAAATATTTTCAAAGAGGTTAGTTTCATTATTTTGGTCTTCCTCACTACTATCATCACTTAATGTACTTATTATTATTATTTTTTTCTAAACTCTTTGCGGCATTGTTATGTTTGACATTGACGTTTGTGTAATTCCCATTTTTAAATTGCAGGCATTACATTATACATTTCTACAGGTGGACCGAGTTCGCCTATTCTTAATAAATGTTCCAATTGTTGAGTAGACAAGGAGCATCTAAAGTCAGTTTAACTACATTCAACTTTGAAAACATTCTTTCTAGCTTAGAGTTGCACATAGGGATGGTAATAAGTAGTTCAACTAATGCCAAAACATCTTTTCAGCTCTTACACCGCAGGGAAGAGAATATTTTTCTCCATGTACACAAATATGTTTGTGTTGATATTGAAAGATACTCACGAGCATACTCTAAAAGAGAGTGCCATTGACTTAAGACATCTGACACATTAATGCCAGCATGTTTTAAAGGTGTTTCAAAACAATTTACTAAATAAGTAATGGCGTCATCTGCAAACTCATTGTTGTTAACAGTTAAGTTTTCTACTACTTTTTTCTGATCCCATCCTTCACAATTTAAAACTTTCAAAACAAATTTGAATATTTGCTTGCTTTCAGTGTTTTTCAGCTTCTTCTTCTAAGCCAACTTTAATGCAACTTTTTAGGCGTTTATAAAACTCCTATTTTTTTTGGATTTAACAAAATTAAATGACCTGTCATAGTATTTCAGCTCGATATCTTAAAAATAATCTTTTCCCTCCTTACAAGTAACTTTCGAAATCAAGTAATTTACATGTGGGAGTTTTTCAAATTCTTTTTTTTAAAATAAATCCAAGCAATCTTTTGGGAAATCAATCAAGTATTGTTGCATTTTTTGGGTCGATATCGATCAACGTTAAATTCCACTCCTTCTTTGTAAGATAGTAGATTTTTTTTATTTGATGGAGTTTTTTTGGTGCCCTTTTGTAAAGATAATGTAAACGTAAAAGCATTTCATTAATGTCATCAAAAGCCATTTTTGACCAAGCATCTTTTAATGCAAGCTCTAAGCAATGAACAACACATCATATAAATACTATCCAGGGTGACTTTTTCTAAAGAATAACATTAACGCTTTGATTACTTCCTCAGTTAACTGAAACACCGTCAGAAGTAAAACTTATAACCTTACTTTCGAACTCTTCAATTCCAAATTTGTTAGATAGTTCTTTGCAACAATCTGCAAATGCATCGTATACACCAGAAGCTGAAAATTTTTCTAAATTTCTTAAGTCTATGAAGATTATTTTCACTTGAACTCCATCACTTCCCACAGGTTCAGGGTTGAAATAAATTAGATAAACAACTTCATCTTCTAATTTCGCACTATCCGTTGATCCATCACATAATATCCCAAATAATTTAGATTTTGACAAATCAAATAATGATTTCTCTTTTAAACCTTCACCAATAAAACCTATAAATTCCGCACATTTGACGTTGCTAAAATATGCTCCTCCTAGCTCAACACTATGCATTTTTTCAAGCCATAATATTTCTGTGTACTTTGTTAATGGTAATTCGTTCTTTGCAATAAAGTACAAAACTTCAAACTTTTTCTTAGTTTTCTCAATTTTTTTTCTATCCATAACTGCTATACCAGAAATAATATCTTGATTACCTAACACATTAGCAATTTGTCTTGTCCTTTGATCTAGTAGTAATTTGGTAAGATTAGTAGTAAGACTTTGCATGACCACTAACAGCAGATTTTTTTAAATTAGTTAAACCCTGAATAAATGCATTTGAAAATTTATCCATGCACTTAATCTTGTTCTCAAATTTCTAGCAGAATTTGCAAGTCAATGATTTAACTTTCCCGTTTAAATCTAAGGAATATTCCAGCCATTCAGATGTAAAAACTTCAGGTAATTCTGATTTCCACTTTTCCACGGTTGCTGCCGAAACGGTTTGGGAAGATTGTGAAGACGATGGGATTTTTGCTTGGTTCCAGTTAATTTTCTGGCTTACCAATATCACTCCAAATAAAGCAAAAGTGTCTTTTGTACTTTTTTTGGCGGTTCAATTGGTTAGATTACTGCAACTGTCATAACTGTTTGAGTACTACGTTCTCCACAACGCCCTACTTTTTTATGTTCTTCGGAGTAACTAACTTCATCTTTGGATACTTCAACGGAACAAATGTTACATACTGGTAAGGAACATTCTACACACAAATACTTTGTCTTGCTGTTTATACATGTTATGCATAGCAAGTCTAATATTGCGATGAGTTTATACTTATAATATGAATTTATATTTGTTCCAAAAATATAATGAAAATGAGTGTGTTTATTTCTAGTAAACAATGATGCACTATTTACCAATAATAACTAAAAAAATTTTACTGCAATAATCTGAATTTCATTTATACTGTTTGTATTTAGAACGCTAAGTGTTATTTATCTTCTAAAGAAATTCTTACATGTTTACTCAGTAAAAGTTAAATCAAATCATTACGCTAGATATTGGTTATTACAAATTCAAAGAAATCTACACGCTTCGCTTTTACTCATTTAAAGGCGGTTAAATCATATGCAATATGATATTTACGGGCTATTATTTAATTTAAAAATTCCATGCGCTGCATGTCATTAATTTCAATCAATTCAACAAAGAAAGTTTTATGAGTTCTACAGGTGATTATTTATCTACTTTTCAAAAAGGAACTCCTTCTTTGGCAGACAATTTTTATAAAGCTAGAACTTTTTAATCTTATATATATATATATATATATATATATATATATATATATATATATATATATATATATATATATATATATATATATATATATATATAGAAATAAAAATAAAGATATAGTTTAAAAAATGAATAATGAATAAAGAATTGAAAAACTCGAGTAGGACCAAGATGCCACCAAGAAACCGCTTAAGCTAAAATAAAATGATTTGGATGATCATAACGTTAATGTTTAAATGTATATCTTATTTATGTTTTTTTTAAAAATATTTCATCGATGAGATCTCAGCCTCTAAAAAAACACATTTGTAAAATCTTTTATTATCAAATTTTTAAAACTGCCAGCTTTTCTTTGCTTTTCGGGGTCCGCAGCGTTTGCTGTAATCAATCGAACATACTTTGACTTACTTTGTAAAACAAAATATTTTTTTAATGAGGGTTTATTCACTCTATAAAAAAAAAAAAAAAATTAGCTACACCAATTTTCCCCATTTTGATATAATTAAACTTTTTTTTAAGCTTTTTTTCATTATTGTAATCTCATCTTTTGACTTCTTGAAAAAACTTTTACATAATTGAAATACCAGTAGAATTCAATAATGTGACATTTCTTAGATTAGGCGCCTTTTCAAAGTTAATTTGTTCATTTGCATTTTATAATATCCATTTTGCGATCGTTTTAAATAAGCAATAGTTTTAAATTTAATAATATAACAATAAAGCTGCTAAAGAACAGTCATTAAAACTACAATTAATAACAGCGCTTTTTTTGGGAATGAATGCCTCCATTATCAACATATTTTATAAGTTTGTCTAATAGTTTACATTAAGTTTAATTTTGTCAATTTCTAATAAACGAATAAAATTTTATTTTAAGAAATTAAAAATCTCGCCGGACAAAATGTCCGATGACTTTGTAAATTAATCGGACATTATGAAGTTTTAGCCGGACAATGTCCAATGTCCGACTGTTAAATTAAGCCCTGTACACCTAATTGTGTAATAAAAATTTTTTTTTAAGAAAAATATATTTTATTCAAAAAATATTAGCTATTAAATCCTGTGTAAATTTCATAAGTTTTAAAAAATATATACTTTTATAAATATTTATAAATAAATGTTTGTTCTGTAAATAAAAACAATTAGTTCTTAAAGGTTAAAATACTTTAAAACATGTTTTAATCTTTCAACTAAATTAAATTTGATTAAAGATTGAGTGAGAATAATTACTATTAATAATTAATAAATACTATTTTTTTTGTTTAAAGTTTTTATTTTGGTTATGACTTTTGTTCTTCTATGGCAGGGCAACATGAAAATACCGGAGATTCCATCCCTGATTTTTCTAATTTTCTGTATATATATATATATATATATATATATATATATATATATATATATATATATATATATATATATATATATATATATATATATATATATATATTAGGGTGTCCCATATTTTTCAAAGTTTTTATTTTCTAACGCACAGGTCTTAATTTCGTTCATTTGCTTCTAAAGCAGTCAAAAATAAATTTTTACCTTAATTGGAGTACGATAACCCCTGCCGACTAGCATTGAACCATGTTCACACAAGTTGCACAATAGTTGTGCTTACTCCCGTTATTTGTTAAAAGTGTAAAAATGCTTGAAGTGGTTTTAACAATGACATACTTATTATCTTGATAAATCAATACTAATTGATAATAGTAAATAGATAATAATTATCTACTTAGAATAATTGTAAACAGATAGTTATTATCAATTTTGCAACATTGTAAAAACCGCAAATTTTTAGAAAAATTCAGTTATTCTCATGACTAACACATATTGTTTTTATTTTTAAGAAATGTTCAAAAATTTTTTAAGAAAAGTAAAATTCGAAAGCAATAAAAAAAAAATTTATCACAAAAAATAGAGTTCCATACTAGAGCTATACCTGTGTAAAAAAACTTGTAGATTTTCACCATGTTTGGAAAGAGTTGCAAAAAATATTAAAAAAAAATTTACAAACACCGTGAGGAGAACTTTTAAAACAATTTAGATAATTTTATTGATATAGCACAGGCTGATGCTTTGGAATGGATAAAAACAAATAAACAAAGAGAACCAAGTCAAGAACATCATGATCACACACCAGCACCAATGAAAGCCTTGAGGAACCGTTACCGTCAACCTCTTAAATAGTAAGTTCTGAAACTATAACAAAAAGAAAAAGAAAAAACTTTATCACATTTTAGGCAAAAAAGGATTATAATACAGGGCCATTAAAAGAAGCTTGTGTATTTTTGAAACAAAAAAAAAATAGGGAATTATTATTTTTTGCTTGCCGCTACCACATGTATGAACTGGTTTTCATACATGTGGTGACGGTTTTGAAGAGTTGTTGAGATTTTATAATCAAGAACTGCAAAAAACTATTGTACGTGATGATTATCAGAAATTAATTGTAAATTTAATAAAGTTAATAATTTAAAAAAAAAAATTAGATTATATATATATATATAATATATATATATATATATATATATATATATATATATATATATATATATATATATATATATAATTTAATTTCTTTTTTTTATTATTATGAAAAATATATATATATATATATATATATTATATATATATATATATTTCATAATTGTTCTTTAAGAAATTCATAATAGTATGCATATTGTTTTAAGTCCTAGCTTCTAATTGTTGAAACAAAGAAAAATAAAAAATCAGGCATAGAAATGGAAACGCCCATAATTTAAATGAAAATTTTATAATTTAAATACCAATCAAATAATAAACTTTATTTAACTTAATACAACAAAATAATAAACATTATTTAACTTAATACAACATATATATGTATTTAATTTAAAACAACATATATATGTATTTAATTTAATACAACATATATATGTATGTAATTTGATTGTGAGTAATTACTCACAATCAAATTACTTGAATTAATTCAATACAACATATATATATATATATATATATATATATATATATATATATATATATATATATATATATATATATATATATATATATATATATATATATATATATATATATATATATATATATATATATATATATATATATATATATATATATATATATATATGTAATTTGAATAAGAAAAAATTGTTTTTAAATAAAATAATCATCTCAATAAATATATATTTAAATAATAAAAAATGCACAAAAAGAAAATAAAAATCAAATAAAAAACCTGTTTTAGCTACAGATTGAAAAGTCTTCATTAAAGTTTTGTTTTCCTTTAGAAGCTTTTGATTAAAAAAATTCTGATGGGATGGAAAAATCTCTAATGGATGGTTGTCAGTAGCAATAAAAACTGAACTGTTGTAATTGCTCTTGTAATTTATAGAACCCAATGTTCCATCATGCATTGGTAACAAAGGCATTGCACATAATTTTTCAGCATCTGACATATCAGTCAAAATAAACTCTAAAATGTGCATCATATCAGAGCTTTTACAAATTTTATAATGATTTAAGTTTCTTTCTTTCTTAAGAGTTGTTTGTACTAATGACTTAGAGATGAATTTAAGACTGCTAAAGTATGATTGAACATGATTGGGAACAACAGAAACCTTTTCATCGCACATTTCAAGAAAATCTCTAATACATAAATTTTGTTTTTCAGATAAAAATAAATCTGGTTTAAGAATATAACAATCTGATGGATACAACCATTCTTTAAATTTACTGCAATAAAAACATTTTAATTGAGAAACCTTTTCAAAAAAAGGGTTCAAGATGTGCTGCCATTTCTTGTCAACAACATCTTTTTTTGGCCAGCAGTCATACACAATATCTGAACTTGAGCGCATTTGAGTTAAATATTTCATCAAGTTACTATAAGCATGAGGCAGCAACTTTGTTATAAGAAAGTTATTCCAAAGAACTTGCTGGTCTTTGTTTATATTTTTAGGATCTGTTGGCCATTTTAAATCACGCCTATCTTCACTGAGTGCAAAGAAACCATTCACATGCACAGGTAAACCTGTGATGCCTTTTTGCCACATAGGCAGTGGTAAAACACAAAAAATATGTCCTCCAACATCACCTAGATATTGATCATTTTTAGGATATGCTACTGTTACCAGTGGTAAAAGGTTAAGGCTTTGAAGATTATTGAAATCTGATGAAGCAGCGCTATAATATTCACTTACAAAATAGCAATAGTTAACTTCAGGTGTATTTATTTCTTTCTCTATAATGTTCACTTCATAGTCATTAGTTACTTCAGAGTAACTAGGAGATTGAAGCTGTTTTTTAATTTTATCAATAAACTGCATTTTTGAATTACCATACTTTTTAATGCAATCTTCTGTCAATGCAATTGAATATTCAACAACTTTTTTATTACTTCTATTAATACGACATAACTCTATATGTTTTACATGTTTTAAAAACAATAAATTTAAGTAACCATTATCTTTAAGTGATTTAATCAATTCATTTAGTTGACCATTATTGTAGCAAAACTCTGATAAATCTGATTTTTTTTGTCTCAATGGAAAGCGAAATAAAGTTCCATTCACACCATTTTCTTTAATTTGAAATAACCTTTTAAACAACTCAAAATCAGCATGATTTTGAAATACCAATCGATCTTCATTATTTTGAAAATCAAACTCAAGAACTTCGCTGTTCAATGTACAGACCATAGGATCAAGGAACATGAATTTTGTACCACTCATTACCATAGGAAAATCTATATGTAACATAAAAATATTTTTAGTAAATCACTATTTAAGGATTGTTACAGAAAAAAAACCAAAAAAAAACCTGTTAAATGGAATACTGATTTAAAGCCTAATCCAAATTTTCCGACTTTTAAAACTTCTTTTTCTTTACAGCTTATTCCCAAAGAACTAATTCCTTCCCAATCTTTTTCTGTAAACATAGCATTGTTATACGCATACAATGAAGGTCCCTGAAAAACATAGTACTATTAGTGCAAATTGTTAATCATTATTATCATTGTTATTATTATTGTTAATAATAATTATAATATTATTACAGATAAAATATATTTTTACATAACATAATTAATAATAAAAAGCAATAATATACCATAATTAAATTATACTATTTTATTGTTTTTATATTTCTATAATATATATATATATATATATATATATATATATATATATATATATATATATATATATATATATATATATATATATATATATATATACACATATACATATATACAAATATTTTATATAAATATATATATTTATATAACATGAATAAAAATAACTTTTGATAAAACTCTGAGTTTCATGTCTTTTTGCAATCATCAGCTATTGTGTATGATTTGTTATGTAAAAACGTTTAAAAATACAAATTAAAGTTATGGTGGGACAAGTTCTGACGTTACAAAAACAAAACAAAAAGACTTTTTTTGTGAGAAAATATTTTGTTAAAAAAATCATGCATCTCGGGTGACATAATAAAATATACATTTGTATTAGTATTAATAAAAAAAATTTAAGATAAAAGTGCAACAAAAAAAACAAAACATTCAAACAGATACTTAAAATATCATCAAATAATCATATTATATGAAACCATCTTTTACATATACACCTACTATGCCTAAATTGAAGCAGCTCAAAGAGTTAACACTCCCAATGCTGCCTTGCACTTCTGTACAATAAAGCAACTGCTATACTTTTCAGACCTTTAAACAAATAAACTTGAAATAACCCCTTATTTTATGATATATATAAGCTTTAAACTTGGTAACCTTGGTAACCTCTTATTTTATGATAGACTGTTATCATACTCTGTAGTTGTTTTAATCTTCAGGATTCTGCATAAATTTTTTTCTATATGTTGCTTTAAATGTTTTCAGAGTATTTTTAATTCAGTTCTCTAAATTTTTTTTTTTCTATTTTTCTGATACTAATCCAGGAGCCACCTTTTATATTTATTATTTGCCACTTTGATGCTTGACTCACTTACTTTCTGACACATTTCTATGCATATTAACTTTTATCAAAATAATTAATAAGACTTTAAACGTGACTAAACTGGTCATCATTAGTAACTTTATGCAACTTCTATAGGAAATTTTAAAATAAATGATAAATAAATGAAGTAAATGTTTGGGTCAAGAAGAAAGAATAATAATAATTAAAAAAACAAATGAACTTTTTATTGACATGTTACATTTAGAGAAATAGTTTTCCACAATCTTTGGTTTTCTAAGAACTGCACATGTTCCATAATGTGTTTTTCTGTCTTGTTCAAAATGGCATTTATTTGCAAACAGTTAATTTCAATATATATATTAGGGCCCTGCAATTCACCTTTTTTGTTTTTGAATTGAATCAGGATTCAAAATGAATCACAAGTCCAATCAGCATTTTGAGGAAAATTAAGCTTAACTAAAACATAGATAACTTCAAAATGCTGATTTGATTCAAGATTCGATTTGCAAATCAAGGCTTGCTTCGATTCATTATTTGATTTGAAACCAAAAAGGTTGATTTGCAGGGCCCTAATATACATATATATATATATATATATATATATATATATATATATATATATATATATATATATATATATATATATATATATATACATATACATATATATATATATATATATACATATATATATATATACATATATATATACATATATATATATATATATATATATATATATATATATATATATATATATATACATATATATATATATATATATATATATATATATATATATATACATATATATATATATATACATATATATATATATACATATATATATATATATATATACATATATATATATATATATATATATATATATATATATATATATATATATATATATATATACATATATATATATATATATACATATATATATATACATATATATATATATATATATATATATATATATATATATATATATATATATATATATATATATATATATATATATATATATTGTTGTTTTATTGTACCAAATTAAGATACAAAAATCTCTTGTTCGTTTGAGAGTGATCAATATAATGTAAGTGTTTACAAAATAGATCAATAATAATTTTTCTGGTTTTTCTTGTTTTAAAAGAATAAAATATGGCTGATGATTGCCGAAGGGCATGAAACTTCAAGTACCATCAAAAAGTTGTATTTTTTCAAATAATCAAACTCTATTATTATTATATATATATATATATATATATATATATATATATATATATATATATATATATATATATATATATATATATATATATATATATATATTATATATATATATATATATATACACACACACATACATACATATATGTATATATATACAAAAGTAGCCCTAATGTTGTCTGAGTCCTGTTAATTAACCCTAAATTGTAACAAATTATTGTTGAAGAGGCCATGCCCTATCTATGAATGAGTCAAGTTCTTTTTAAACTTAAATCATGCTAAAAATAACCCAAAATCTTAAATATAAAAAACCATCCAACCACCTAACTATTTTATTATATCTTTTACAAATATTCGTTGTATGCAAAGCAACCTTCCATCAGTTGAATCTTACCTTTTGTAAAATTCACCAGACTTGTTTGCTTGTAGTGAGACTAATATAAATCCCGCAATTCCTTCTTCAAATCTTAGTCTTGATGGGTACTATCCTTTGATTTGCTTCTGACTCACCCTATCATTGCACTATTTGCAAAGACACCAATAGTCACATGCTTGGCTTGAAATCAGGTTTGAATCCTTTGACTGTGATTCCGCTTAGCACCTCTTCACTCTATTACCTTTCTCTTTGTTCTTTATCGTTTTCTTTCTTTCCAAGACTGCACACTTTTAGATGTAATTTCTGATTAAATTGACCATGTCCTCTCTCTCTGCCAATTTTTTACTTTACGCTTTATCAATATTGTTATTTTTGGTGATTTTAATGCTCATTACACTGAATGGAGAGTTTTTTATTGTTTTGAACTATAACATGGTTTTTACCATGTCCTCTCTCTGCCAATATTGTTGTTTTTGGTGACATGTAATGCTCATTACACTGATTGACTTTAACACTACTGGCCTAACTATTAACACTAAAGCCTATAATTTCTGCAATTCTCAATCTCTTATTTAACTTAGTGACTCGCTTTTCTGACAACCCTAATCATTTACCTCAACTTCTTGATTTGTGTCTTGTTTCTGACTCAAGTTTATGTTTAGTTTCTCCTTTTTCTTCCTTAGGTGGTTATGACCATGCAATTGTTTTTATAAATTTTTTATCTTGTACTTGTTATCTTGTAATTGTTTTTTGTAATTGTAATTGTTATCTTGTAATTGTTTATCTTGTAATTGTTTTTATAAATTTTTTATCTTGTTTTATCTTTTATCTTCTTCTGACTCACCCTATCATTGCACTACTTACTACTACCCTAAAGCCTACTTACTACTACCCTTTTTTTCTTTGTAATGATCTTTAGGCTAATTTTTTTTTCTCTCCGCTAATAAATGTGCCTCCTACCTAACCTCCAGGATTCAGGCAGGAATGGAAGTTTTTATTCTTTTTGGTTAGTTCCAAATCAAGCCTTATTTTATTTTGTAATCAATTTTTTCATCTATTTAAAAAAAACAAATTGTTTTTTACTTATTTGCTTTTAGCTGTAATATGTCTTTACAGTACTTATGTCCTGATACTATTGTTTACCTCAAAAATTGTTTATTCGTCCCTGTATGGAATACTGTTATGGACTGGTTCTTCTAATGATGCTCTTTCTCTTCTTGACAAAACCTAAAAATGCATTGTAAACACAGTTGGACCTACTCTATCTGCTAAGCTTGAGTCTCTTTCCCATTGTCGTAAAGTTGCATCTTTTTCTCTTTTCTACAAATATTATCATGGTCGCTGCTCAAAGCGGCTATCATCTCTAGTTCTGTCAACTAAAACTAATTCTCACTTGTCATTCAGCAAAATCTCATTTGTTTACAGTGTCTGTATAGACCGCGATCCGTGCAGGCTAATCGCATCGGTCAGTGATCTCCCTCTCAGAACCATATAATTTTTTCAGAAATAGTACTTTATTATATGTAATAACATTATCGAAAAAGTTTCCAAGTTTTTCTTCTGCAGTTTTTGAGAAAAAAGTGTTAGAACTCCCTTTAAAAATCAATTTACACAACTATCGTTTCGTTTCGTTAAAAATAATCAATAAAAAACAGAACATACATTTGAATAATTTTTCTCAAGCTCATTTTAAATAAATGCATACGGCAAATTACTCGTCTTCCTAATAACCAAAACAAAATAAAAACATGGCCGCAGCCGAGTATCTCATGTCTTATTCATTTTTCTTAATGTAATGTTTATGTATATATATTTTGTATATGTATTAATATTTAATGTCCGAGTATCTCATGTCTTATTCATTTTTCAAATTGTGAAGTTGAACAGACTTATGAAAAGTTTATTTTATCACGAAATGAATGGCTTATGATAAATGACGAAAATTCAGAAGCTACGGGTATAGCACATAAAGTTGTAAGTTGTCCTAAAAATTTTTATAAAAACTCTTATTTGGTATACTATCTAAAATGTTATAAATATTTCACAGATGTGTCTAAAATTGAAAGACCCAGAAAAAAAAATTGAATAATTTATCTGAAAGCTCTAAAATAGAAAATAAAAGAAAATCTTCCTGATTATCATCAGTTAGCATTTCAGCAAGTTCTTCAGTTTTGTAGCCACTTTGTATTATTTGTAATAAAAAAAATCTTTACTATACAGATTTTCACAACAAAAAAAGAAAAATACAGAAACTTAGTTTGTGTCAAACTTTTGACTGTGGTTTATTGCGTCGAGCAGCTGAAGATTAAAAGCTGAAGATTAAAAGTTTTTTGTTACACATTAAAGACAAGGATTGTGTTGCTGTTGAGGTGAGGTATC